AATAGAAAAAGAAAAGAAAAAAACCGCTGAAATATATTTTGAAGCCAAATGTAAATATATGGAGTGGCGGCAAAAATATGAACAAGCCAAACTAGAAAAACTGGACCGGAGCAACGTGATATATGCGAATATTTTAACTGAGTTAAAAGAACTGAAGCATATAATTTCAAATAAATAAGTTATAATTTTGTTTGGTATTTTTTTTACATGTATCTGGCTAGTTATGTTTTGGAATGGGGCTATAGGCAAAATTAAAAAACGACATTAATTATCATCGATATTTTAATCCTAATTAAAATGTGTTGCTGCAATTTCCCTCTGCAATCTTCTGGCGGCGTCCAAATCTGGATTAACCAGTCTTGGATCATTGCTTCGCTCCATATTACTTAATTCCAGTAAGTCTGCTCTCTCAATTGGATTTTCTTCTGGTTCTGGCATGCTGGCTTTTACGCACATGTTGTGTAGTACTACACACGCATTAATTATCTTCCCTGCTCTGTCTGGTCTGTAATGGAGCACTCAATGTTTAAGCAAACACCTAAACCGATTTTTCAGTGCCCCATTACATCTTTCAATGCCGCTTCGAACAGCCTTAATCCTGCTATCAAAGCGTTCTTCTGCGGCATTTATTGGAGGAGAATCTAATGGCGTGAGTAGCCATGGGCGAAGAGTATATAGCCTGAAAGTAAAAACGCATTTGGATGGATTCATTTGTAAAATTTGAGGCACAAAAAGTTAAACCGCCGGTCTCTGTTATGGTTAGGAACTGTTATTACCTGAATCGCCTAGAAGATAAAACACCACAAGGACCTAAAAAAATGTATTTCCATTATATCGAGTTATAAAAGTAGGCGACTATTAAAGACGATTTTTCCGGATTTCGGTAAATGAGGCTTTGTGAAATACGTCAAATATATGTACAATGTATGTCACAAACTTGTTTAAATTTAACAATTTAATTGCCCTCTTTATATATCGTGCTCTTCGGTTTTCCAAATCTCTCAGCTACTGTTTTGGTTGACGCTCCTTCCTCCATTAATGTAATTATTCGAGTTTTTTCAAATTCGTTTGTAGTCGTAGTATTTTGATAATAGGAAAATGAAATTGTCAGTATTTTGTCATTTACGCAAAGGTAGATCGAGGTAGAAAGTCAGATTTACACAACAACTATTTAATGTTCGACTTTTATGTGACGCCGACTGTACATGTAGGTACTTACTTTTGTTT